AAGCTTCAAGACAGATAAGTATCGCCCTCATCATCCCTATCTGCTAATGCAACTGTGCTTATTTCCTACTGTAATTCTTAGGAACTTGATTGAATGTGTGAGTGCATCAGTATTGTTTGTATGAGACATATTTCTAGTAAAAGACATCTGTTTTAACTACAACAGCCTCAGAATCCTTTACTGGTAACCCTTGGTGGGATCAGGACCTTGGTATAAATGGGCAAGAACCCATTTATAAATTGCCAATTGCTGTAAATAAAGCAATTCGGCTAACACAGCCTCCCCAATGGCTTTAGACATACTCTCACACACCCCTCCTCCACCTGATAGGCAGTTGTCTGTCAGGTGCAGGAGCTGGGGACAGAAATGGATTACAGATCTGTGGGCTCAGTGGTGTAAATGGATGACACAGTCCACTACCCTGTAGAGTTCCTCAATACCCTCAACCCTTCTGGCTTTCCAGTCCACAATTTCTCCTCAAAGTAGGGGCTCCTGTGATACTGTGGAACCTCAACCCACCCAAATTCTGCAATGGCACCAGACTGCAAGTGAAGGCCCTGCACAGGAACATCATTGAGGTCACACTGCTCACTGGCAGTACTCAGGGAGAGTAAGTGTTCATATCACACATACCACTCATACCATCAGAAAGCCCCTTTGAGTTCAAGAGGCTGCAGTTCCCACTCAAGGTCTGCTTTGCTATGACCATCAACAAGTCCCAAGGCCAGACACTGAAGGTGGCAGGAATTGACTTAACAGACGACTGCTTCTCACATGGACAGTTCTATTTGGCCTGCTCCAGAGTGAGCTCACCAAGCAGCCTGGTGATCCTAGCACCTGAGGGCAGAACCACCAATGTGGTCTACAGAGACGTCCTAGTAGAGAGTGGGAAAAACCCAGTACATATGTTTCAATTCATTTTTTTACAGTACAATCCTCTCCATTAGAATTCCTACAACAAATGTTACATTTCAAACTTCACATTATCAGTATTATAACTGGATTTACAGGACTTAAATACTGTAGCGAAGCATGGGTATCAAGCTAGTCATCAATATACCTAATTCTCAACATGGCCCAATGTGTAGATAGTTAAATCTGGAGACTGGGGTCATGGACAGACAAGAGAGCTCTTTCTACAAACCTGAGAATAGCCTCAGTTTGCAGAAAAATCAAAAATCTCTCTCACACACACACCATTAGGGGGTTTAAAAAAACCCCAAACTGAGTGCCCTCAGTGTCCGTTGCAGACAACCACAAGAGTATTGCTAGCCTTTATGCCTTGATTTCTGTTGGTAAAGGGCAGGGAGAGGGAACTTTCTAGGACTATTTTGGCCTTTGAGGGAGGATTTATTGGGACTGGAATGGGCAGCAACCAGAGGCAATTTGCTACCATGCAACATAAATGACCTATGCAGGAGCAGCTGCTTGCTACTGTTCAGAAGCAGCCACCCACAGAAGCCAGTGTAACGTAGTGGTCAGAATCTGGGAGACTCATTTTGAGAGCCCCACTCTGCTGTGGAATCACACTGGATGACTTTGGGACAATCTACTCTCAGCCTCATCTACCTCACAGAGTTGTTGTAATGATAAAATGGAGAAAAGGAGAATGATGTTTTGGTTCCCCATTTGGGAGCAAAATGGGGTATATAGGAAGTAAATAAATAATTAAAGCTGAAGACGGGGGACAGATAAAAGGTAGGTGGGTGGGAAGGAGAGAAGAAAACAGGGAAAGTTCAGGAAATGGGGGCTGCCAGGAGAAGGAAAAGAGGAAATAGTTTGGGGAAGATGAAATGAGATGCCCCTGCAAGTTCTTTTTGGTCCCCTGTGCAAAGTCGGCTGCCACTCCACCACGCTTTACACAGGGCTGCTATTTGTATGGGGGAGGAGCCCTCTGGCAGAAGCTCAGGAGAGCCTTTCTAGTCTTGTTTCACTAAACTGAAAAAAATGGTATTTTCATGGATGCTCTAGTGCAGCTGCATTGCTGTTGTTCAGTCGCACAGTCGAGTCCGACTCTTCACGACCCCATGGACCAGATCACGTCAGGCCCTCCGGTCTTCCGCCGTCCTCTGAAGCTGCATATCAATGCTAATTTCCTGCCCTTCCTTGCAAATGTGCATGGTTTTCTCTTTGTGATTCTTTAATTTGATCCTGCACACTGGAAGTGATCTTGGCAGTTTTTTTAATGCTCTCCTGTGCTGATTGCGCTCTTTCCTCCAAATGGCTCAATCCCAAGCGATTCTTAAGTTCGCAGGTTCGAAAAAATGTTTTCTAAACTTTTTTCCCTCCCCTTGATTCTCTCTCTCTCTCTCTCTCTCTCTCTCTCTCTCTCTCTCTCTCCATTTCATATCAAGTTATTTCCATGCTGATTATTCCCCCCCTCTTTATTTTGTTTGCATGAAACACAGAAATCCTTTTTTTTTTTTTTTGCATTGGGGATGCTGTTGTTTGCCTCCTCTCCGATCCCCCTTTCAAGTCAATACCAGCAGGGAACTAAGCCGTGCGCAGCGCCTTTTAAACTTTTCCCCGTTGTTTTAATTTTTTTATTCAGCAATCCAAGACTAGTCTCATATTGCTACACTCACGCTGCTTGTAAAAAAATTAAAACAATGAGGGGGAAAGTAATCAATGAGCTAAGCTTGTAAATCAATGAAGGAGGGAGGATGGTAGAAAATGCAGAGTGCGTGGAACAACCTCAATGTTGGTGGGGAAGTGTCCGTTGAGGGGTGGTAAAAGGGTGGGGGGGGAATCCATGGAAATCTGTATCCTTTTGAATTACCTTCAGCTTGGAAGTGAAACACAGAAGAAATTGACAGAAAATCACTCTCAGAAAACCTGGGGAAACAGCGAACAGAAAGTGAACTGAGCGCTTGTATAGAAATAGTGATTTCTAAAGGTTTAATGCCTTCCCCAGGAATGTCTCTTGCTGATACCCTGCTGTGTTGATTTCCTGTTGAAGCCAAATGGCTTGAACATTTGGCCAGAGAAGCTCAATTGCCATGCCATATAATTCTTCACACTTCCATGCTGACAGAGACCAGCTGGGCCTCTGCAAAGCATGTCAGAAATGCACGTAGCTCATGGACTAGCTGGAGCTGGGGCCATGTGACTGCAGGTGTGGCCTTCAGTGTCCTGACCATTCAGATGTTGCACCCATGGCAACTAAACAACTGGACACTCCCATGTCTACTCCAATTGGCCCCTGGCCAGGGCTAATTTGGGATGGGGATTGCCCTATATCTGGTCATTCCCAATGAGAGGAACTCTCTCTCTTCTGTTCCTGCTATCTCTGCTACTCTGTGTGCTGTCCACCTGAAATGCTGTCCTGCCATGTGGTCTCTGGCAGAGACAAACAACTGCTTTGGAGCTGAGCACATGGCTGCATGCTTGCACAAAGATGGGACCTAATTGGACTTTATACTTGGACAATCTTGGACTATAGATCATCTCTGGTAATTATGTAGATCTCTTTAATGTTTAGTGAGGGCCAAGAGCCATAGGTTTTCTTGTTTTCAGTAATCCTGGTAGTCTGTGCTAAGTTCTGTGCTAAATAAGCTGATTCTGGTTTTCTAACTTGTCTGTTTTGATGTGTAACTGAATCCCAAGCCTAAATCTTGCAGCCTAACTGGCTACACGCTACCCTTGAGCATTAAGTGTACATCTCTGAGGAGGTGCTAGTGTGTTCTGTCTGGTGGCTATTGTTCTGAAATCCAGAGAGCCTACCTCTCTGGGTTATTGTATAATGTAATGAGCCAGTGTAGAGTTTTCCCCTCATCCCTGGACTGGCCTGGGGGGTAGAATCTATACAGCACTGAAGGGAGGAAAATCAATGCAGAATGACAAAGAAAATCCAACAAACGTGCACAGTGAAAGTGAGGGAAAACACCCATACATTAGGCCACCTGCGATATCATGAAAGGTTGTGAAATCACAGTCACTACTATGGGGCTATCCAGCAAGTGACGCAGCAGAGCCTGGGCCTAGGAAACTCCTCCCTGAATGTAGCTTGGTACAAAACAGCAGCAGTGAACAGAAGAAGTGGTGAAGGGGATTGGGGAGTGGAAAAGAGCTGTTACAGAGGTTAAAAAGAAGGCTGAAATATAATTTCTTTTATCATAACTAGATTATAACTAACTTTAGGAAAGTTCTTGTTTATTCTTTAAACAGAGAATGTATCCCAAAACTTTGTAATATTGATGTGTTTTTGTCTGCTTCTATATTTGAAATATGTAACACATTTGGTAATGCATCTGACTTTACTTGATGTTCGTAACAACTCATAATATATGACAAACCAGATGAATCTATATTTCTCCCTTACCCTTTCTTCCTTTCTGTATCCCACCTTTTCTTAAAGAAAATAATTAAAAAAAAAATAAAATTAAAAAACAAGGCTGGGAGAAAGCAAAAACTGTTAAAAGAGAGGGTGTACAAAATGGGCTAAAAGCTGTTAAGGGATAGAAAGTGAAAAACAGATGGGGGGAAATCTGTTAAGCAAGAAGGGGAAGTGTGGAGGGAGGGATTTCCCTCATCTTTAATTTTTGTGGGTCCATGGTTGTCTAATTGTTGAGGTACAAGTTCAAGGATGGAAAATGTGGAATGACTTGCCACATTCTTTATGGGCTTCAGTAAAACATTTAGTAATAAGACACATCTACTATCTTGTCTGCCAGTTAAAGTACACGTTGCACTTAACACTGCCAGGTTCCAGGAAAGAAAATTGTTGTTACCAAATGACAGTAACCAGCAAATAAATATCCTGTACTTCCATTCCATTAGGGAGGGTTTGCTTATTTGTGTTTTTTGGTATGGGTGTGTGTGGCTGGATGGTGTCAGAGAATACCCAGCCCATTCAACAACAAGATGATCCACTTCATTCACAACCAACCCTGCTTCTTCAACAGCACATATAAAACAACAGCTGTTGTCCTACAGAACACGCACACCTGACTCCTTCCACTGTGTGTTCCTTCTCCTTCTGCACCTTCAGACCAGCTAAAATGGCTTACCAAGCCACCGTAAAGACCCAGAGGAAAGTCCTGAGTAATTATTCTAACTCTTGCCGCACCAGCTTTAGTCCCAGCAGTCTCTCTGGGGTTGGTTCTGGTTTGAGCAGGATTGCTGGTGGCAGAGGTTTTGGCAACCAAAGCCTCTACAATTTAGGTGGATCTAAGAGCATCTCAATTGGTGGTGGAGCTTCTGGAGCTTGTTTAGGTAGTGGCATTGATGGTGGATATGGGCCTGGTGGTGGCATAGGTGGTGGCAACTTTGGATTACTTGGATCTGAGTTTGGTAGTGGCAGAAGTACCCTTGGGATCCCTGTTCGTACAATCCAAGAAGTAACTATCAATCAGAACCTGCTGGCACCTCTCAACCTGGAGATTGACCCAAATATACAGAAAGTCCGTAGAGAGGAGGGGGAGCAACTCAAGACACTCAACAACAAATTTGCCTCCTGTATAGATAAGGTAAGGGATAAGATTTCTAATGTTTTCTCTTTTCATTCCAATAGTTGATATAGTTTAGGATGCAACTAGACTAATCCTGCTGCAACTCCTCCACTCACAGCTGCTACTACTGCTTATATTAAACTTCAGAACAAGTAACTTTTTCAGTGCATGGATTTCAATTTTTTTTTTTAAATCAACCCTGTTCCTTTAAGTTCAAAAATGTTGCTGGAGAGACCTTTCTTGGGCCTTGCTCACACGGGCCGGAAAATGCAGCGGGGGGGGGGGAGCGGGGCTGTTTGCCTTGGAACAAAATAACGCGTGGCTGCCCGATCACACGTCCCGTCGAGGCCCCTAGTTAGGGCGTGAAGGGCCAATCCCGTCGAGGTCCCATGGTTAGGCCGTTAGGTGCCAATCACATGGCTAGTCTGCAGCAACGCAAAGAAGCGGTGCGGTGTTATCACACCGGCAATCGTGCCGCGCCGCTTCTGTGGCAAACAGGAATTTTTTTTGTCTCACCAAAGTTTGCGCATGCGTATGATCATTTGTGCGCATCCTGTGGGGAGACTAAAAAAAAAAATCCGGCTTGCAATGGGACATGGGCGGGCGCCGGATGCCGCGGGTTTCCAGCGGAAACACGATCAGATGCCCGCCCTTGCCCCGCGTTTTCCAGAAACTAGTACATTGTATGTGGTGGTTTTTTACTCCGCATCTTCGGCAACAAGCCACGGGTTAGCCACAGGTGCACTACGCTTCCCAGATGTTGCGGTGTGATCATTCCCGGAAAATCTGCCTATCATCCGTGTCTTCAGCGTGGCAACTTCTCCGTGTGAACGGGGCCTTAATAATGAAGGGATTGGGAAAAGTTGTAGAATATGCTCCAAATGTCATATAAAACAAAATTTCAAAGTGACTTTGGAGATGCCTGCTTGGGAGAAATGCCTAAGCATTCTGAGAGAGAGAATTCTAAGGACTAGTGAAATGTGTCATTTGCTTTATTACTGAGAATCAGGCTACTGCTAAAGGCTGGTGTCCTGCACTTGGTAACCTAAATCCAGCCATGGCAAAGACACCAGAATGTCATTACTTCAGCAGAGGAGACTTTACATGGTGGGATGGAAGAGGTGAGTCCTGAGCAGTACTGCTGAATAGGGAAGGGTCAGGCAGCCACACTAAAGGTCCACTCCTGGAGAGCCTCAGGTGGTTCAAAACTTCATTGATTCAGTGGATGGAATCCTGTCAACTTTTCTCTCTATCTCGCCCAGTTCCTCTCCTTACTGCACCTGCCATCCCACATGGCTTTTGTCTATGCTGACCCCATAGCCTCTTTGGTTAGGGCTGCCAACCACCAGGTAGTGCCTTGAGATCTCCCACAATTACAACTGATCTCCCAGTTATTCAGATCAGTTCCCCTGGAGAAAATGGCTGCTTTGGAGGGTGCACTCTGTGGCATCACAGGTCCCTCCCCTACCCCCAAACCCTACTTTCCCCAGGCTGCACGCACACACACACACCCCATCTCCAGGACTTTCCCATCCCAGAGCTGGTGACCCTGTCTTTGGTGGTCACATGTTTGACACCCCTGATTTAGGTGGTTGTTGCTTAAAAGCCTCAGATCCAAAGTCAGCCAGCATCTTGATTCTGCATAACTTCCTTTGTGTTTTGGCGTTTCGTCTGTGTTGCTATTTAGAGTAAACAAGAGGGGGACCCGCGATACTCGTGGGGGGGGAGAAGAGCTCTGTCTCCTCCATCCCCCCTCAATCTCCCCGAGGCGGCGGCGAGGCCGGTCCTCCACCCCCCACCCCGCCCAGCTCCGACCCGGCGAGGCTCTGCGGTGGCGGCGAGGCCGGTCCTCCCCCCCCTTTGCCGGGCTCGGAGGGGGCGAGGTTGGTCCTCCCCCCCCCCTTTGCCGGGCTTCGAGGCGGAGGCGGCGGCAGAGAAGCTGGGGCTCTCCCCCCCCCCTCACGGTCTTGCACTTTCGGGGGGATTTAAACATCCCCCCGAAAATTTTTTCAACTTTTTGCATTTTTGTGCACACGTGGGCCGGCCCCCCAGCTGCCCCCGGAGCCCTGATTTAGTGATCTGCACTCCAGGGGCAACTTCGCTATTAGATATATAGATAAACAGTTTCTAAAAATTAAAAAAATCCACACACTTAAGCTTGCCTACTGAAGATCAGTTGAAGCAACTAAGACAGTACCAAAACTACTGTGAGCTTAACCTAATGGCAACAACCAGGGGTCTTTTTTTAGAAAAAGAGCTGCCGGAGCTCATTAGCATAACTCATTAGCATATGCCACACACCCTGACATCACTGGAAGTGTGTCATAAGGCCACACCCCCTGACATCACCGGAACCTCTTGATGACTGTTTTTTGTTTCTTGTCCTTGGCCC